GAACAGAACATGGCTCACTCCTTTTGAAATGCAGCTGCCGTGGGAGGGGAAATGTTATACAACACCCAAGCAGTTACAGCACCTGCCAAATTTTGTGCTCCAGCTCTCAGGATTAGCCCTCTTTTCTCATGATTATGTAACAAAATTCAAAACTAGTCTGTTGAATAGGCTTAAATCCAGAGCAGCTTGCTCCCCTGCTTCCAGAGTACCACTGACACTAGGTTACAACATGTTACCTCCCGCCTCTRAACATTCATTTTCTGTTTTGTGAAATCTATGAGGACACAGAGGGGAACTTTGCCCCTAGCACACTTCTCACCTTCCTCCAGCCTAGACATTGGCCTGGTGATTAACATAGGATCATGGGAAGGACGAGACATTGATATGAATAAGGACACACCTGAATCCCATTTTCCTGCTTGTCCAACTGGTCTAACCACAATGTTAACCACTGAATCATCAGCAACCTGTTTTTGAATAACAGTGTTCCTTGCTACTCAGGTTTGTTTTGTTTGTGGCTTTTTTGTTTTGTTTTTTTTGCATTTTTTAAGGCATTATCCCAATATTCACATTGGATCAGTCCCCCATGAGGCTTAGATGACACCTCAACTAATTTCTGATTGGCCTAAATTCCTACATACCAACACTACACTTGCTATGAAGTCCTTCAGATAAATGAGAATATGCCTACAGAGTTACAGTAGCTCTGTGATTATGCAGCTGCTCAGGAAGGTTGGTTGGACACTTATTACTGCTTCTTCGATGAACCAAATCACAGGACCATATATAAATACTTATGTATGATCACATMGTCTCAATCATGTTGAAAAAAAAGACTGAGAAAAAGGAACATTACTATGAATCACTATGCCTTGCAGATCAGTTTCTCATATTCACCACTTCTAATAGCATTCAAGAGCTTTTGTTTAGAACCTAAATAGACTAGGCATGGTGAACAAAGCATACAAAGGAACATTCCTTTCTCTTCTTCCATGCAAATTAAAAAAAGTAGTCCAAACGTTAAAAAAAAACAGTTAGTGGGTTTACATAAAACAAAAATCATAAAATGTTCTCTGACATTGATAATTAAAGTAATTTCCCACATTGATAGTAATTTGGCAATTTTATTMATTTTCTAAAACTAAATCCACATGGGAAAGAAAACAGATATTGTTTTAAATTAATTTGATTATCATATATCCACAGATTAGTTCTGATTACTCAAGCTGTGCCTTTTTGCATATCCAAATTACAAAACACTTTCAACAGCATTCTGTACAGTATTGCTCATTTCCAAGGACATGATTATTATCTGAACATATGGAAAAGAGGAAAATAGTTATTTTACCTAATAACTATACTTATGTATACAATCTACTCAGCTTTTCTTTATAGATACAATGTGAAAATCCSTTCCATTTATTTAATTTCTCATTTTACAGCTTTTCCTCTACATTCTTTCAATTAAAGTGCTTTTCCCCTTTTTAACAGTCCTTTGTGAAGCAGCAGTTTTAGTGTSTTACTCTCTCAAGTTTTAGGAAGGATATTTCTCTTTCTGCCAACTGTTCCATGCTCCTGCCATGCCTTCCTCACAGCTGTTCTGCCAGTCTCAGGGGTGCTTCATCTCCCCACCTCTGCAGCTTAGCAGATCAGAACTCCACAGAGCTGCTCAAAGAGAAACTAAGCACATGACAGAAACCGCATAAGCACAAAAAGCAACTCCAGCATTAGGTATTAAAAAAATCATTTAAAAGTGACTACAACTTCTACTCCTGTACAGCTTCTGTGATCTACATGACATGTATCCCAGCGCTGACTCATACTTAGAGTAAAAAAAAAAATGAACCTGAAAACCCCCCACCTGTATTCATAGTTTCTGACCTTGTAATAAACTCTGGCTGAAACAGCTACTTTGAAAGAAGCAATACACATTTAAACCACTTTTTTTCCCTTAGCTCTTCTGTGCTACTTCTGCCCTCTTACTATTGTGAGGCAGACTACAGCAGATGACAGCAAATTACATACCAAACACCTTATCCTATTGTGCTCATGCTCTCTTTTCCTTCTTGCCCTCCAGAGTTCTTCTATTTTAGACCTATTGCAAAGATTTCACATCCAGCTGTGCTACACTAGCACAACCCAAAATAATCCACCTTTAATCTCCCAAGATCCCTCTTGACCCAGCTAATGACAGAAGTGGTGGTGTAAGMGACAGCAGGTACAATCTGGAGATTATAAGAACACAGTATCTCCATGGAGCTACCCCCAAATAACTATGGGTTGTGAGATTTCATGTGATGACAGTAGCCAAGGTAAAGAAGGGTGAGGTGCTTTAATTACACTATTTGGCTGTCAAATAAGGTATTTTCCAACTCTAAGGTAACTGCTTTAAGTAGCAAATTATGCATTTAATATACTGAGATATATTAAAATGGAAAAAAAAAATGCAAAAACACAAGAGTGCATGGAAATTCAGTAYGGCTTGCAAACTGGGAATAAAACATGTACTTACATGGGACTTAAAACTCAAAAATTCTAATATAATYTAATAAAAACATTTTGCATGAATTTAATCAAATATTGAAAATTTTGAAAGGAAACTGACATGRGATATTACCATCTTCCTTTTTAATTAACTAAAACCAAGAAATTAAAGTATGTAATTAAACAAAGTTTTTTAATTTAGCATTTACTCAAAAAGTTCCTTTTGGTACTCTGTCAATCCATATCAATTGTAATTATATCCAGGTGGGAAAAAACCCTAAATATTAATATTTTACTATTAAGCTGGAAAATATAAGGGGATAGAATTAACAAAAAAACAAACAAACAAACAAACAAACAAACAACTGCCAAGCTTCAAATTAAAAAGAAATCATAGATAGAAATGTTCTTTGACTAATTTTTCATCTGTTAGGAACATATTTTTTAAGAGGAAAAAGAGCCTTTTCCAGAAGTACTACAATTTAGTCCTCATAAATAAATAGACTAATGACCTTAAGCTATTACAGGCATTAAAAAACTTGTGTTCTTATTAATTTGGAAATGTTAGGAAAATGAGATGGAACAAYACAATAATGGATTGGGGAAAATTATTTCATTATTCTGTATAATTCCTTAATTCTACACAACCTATCATAATTAATTGTTCTCACAAAATATTGCATATTACATTTTATAGCTCTGATGAGTCAATAATACGAAATGGGAATAAAATTCTGACGATGAAATTGGCATTTCTTCAGACAACTAAGGCTGTCTAAAACAGTAATAAATACAGGTCTAGGTTATMGTGACTTACCAAGGAGAAAACTCAGTTTATGATAAATATTTTAAAARCTCATTTATAGTTATAACTGGCTGTAAAATAATTAATTCTGCCCCTCCCTTCCCACTGGATTTCAGGACAAGTTTGGTACATCTACTATGATATGCAGTACTAAAAAAAATTATGATTTTTTTTTTTTTTTTATACAGAACCTGATGCACCATATGAATTTAAAAGCTCCAGTAGACAATTGTAGCCAAGTTGCTGCAAGAAAGATGCCAGCTAGGAACTTCCCTACCGAGTCAGGGGCTAAAAGGTCTGATTACCAACTTCCTCAAGTTACCTGTTGCATGAGCTTCCCCAGGGCTAGGGACAAACATGTCCTGGGCCTGTGCTTCTCGAATTCCTGCCGTGCAGGTTTCACCATGCTGTTACGTGCAGAGTGACCTGTCAGAAAGATGCTTCCATTTAATTTATTTTTGGTACTAAACAGACTAAGACTGAATTTCAAAATAAGAAAGCATTCCTTCATGAAAAATAAGGCAACTCAATCAAATTATTTAGAAGAAAATACCTTTAAGTGAGATTGGATTTTGTCTAGTGACTAAAGGAATGTTTTGCAAGCTTAATAAAAGTACTTAGAAAAAATGCAGACCTATTAAAAAAAACAAACAAACAAACCCCCACAAGTAGTGAAACATGCCAAGAAGCTAAAATTTCTGCTCAAAATAAAGAATGAGGTTAATTATCGATAGATAGTACCAGTTTACTGAAATAAAGAGATACATCATTTCCAGATTTTGTCAGAGCAGAAATAGCTAACAATTACATGGCAAAAATGGGATAAAAACATCCTACACAGATACCTACAGAACCACTGAGTTCATACTCTCTGCCTGACCTGGGTACCACAGAGTTCATACTCTCCTTTGCCTACACCTGTTGCCAACAATGGACAATAATGTCTTCAGGTAAATATATTTTTAACAMGAACAGCCCTTCACTGTGCCACACTGGAGACAAGCTACACCCCTAGGTCCCTGAGCATCTCATCGGCTGGATTGACTCTGAAACCAGGACTGACACCCCCTCAGCTGGGTCGATCCTTCAACTAGGACTGATCTTTCTTTCCTCTTTGATTCCTTAATTCATYTTTCTCCCTTTAATTCCTTTCTTCTCTTTCACCCTGGCCCTTTATCCAAAGCCCACTGCCGTGTGCTTACACAGTAGGTGAGGTATACAGTTGCTCATTATRCATACTGAATTCTTTGCTATGTGTGTAATTCACTGATACAACTTTCTGGTCCTTTGCGACCCTCTGACTTCCGTCGTTCCTTTCGACGAATGAGCATTTACGAATCTCAGGTGATTCTTCCCCTTTATGGTTGAGCCTTCAGTGGTGCAACAGGACTCAAAAACTTTCAGAATTTAGTGGGGGCTTTAATTGTTTTTCGCAACTTCCGTCATCTGCAATGTTAATGTCCTCTGCTCTCCGTATCAAAACAACATAAAAAGAAAAAACAACAACCTTTAAGAGAACTTTCAGTTAAAGAAAACACAGCAACTCTTCCGGAGAGCACCACTCGGCAGGCGCGCCCGCCACCCCTACTGCCCGCCAGGGGCCCGCTCCCAGGGCCGCTCGCCATTGGCTGCCGAATATTRCCGAGGGCGCTCGTGCTTCTCCGGCTGAGGCGCCGAGGCACGGGGAGGGGAGCGAACGGCTGGAGCCCGGCGCGGTGCATTGTGGGGCGGGAGAGGAGAGTCACTGCTCAGCCAGGGCCGCCATCTTGGCTGCGTCCGGACTCGCTCCCGCTCCCGGGGCCTGTTCCTTCTCCCCGCAGCGCAAAGCGGTGGAAAGGGAGAAGACGAAAGGCCCGCCCGGGCGTTGCTGATGCGCGCAGAGCCTCCTCGCACCTCTCYCGGGCGCCGCTAGCAGAGGGGGCGGGGGTGGTCGAGCGGCTGCCGGCGCGGCCTCTCCTCTGCCGGGATGGGTCGGTCCCGCAGCCGGAGCTCGTCCCGCTCCAAGCACACCAAGAGCTCCAAGCACAACAAGAAGAACCGGAGCCGATCGCGGTCGCGCTCCCGAGAAAAGGAGCGGGCACGGAAGCGCTCCAAGTCCCGGGAGAGCAAGCGGAACCGGCGCCGGGAGTCCCGCTCCCGCTCGCGCTCTAACACGGCCCCCTCCTCCCGGCGCGACCGGGACCGGGACCGCGACCGCGCCTCCTCCCCTCCCGACCGCATCGACATCTTCGGGCGCACGGTGAGCAAGCGCAGCAGCCTGGACGAGAAGCAGAAGCGGGAGGAGGAGGAGAAAAAAGCGGAGTTCGAGCGGCAGCGGAAAATGTGAGCGCCGGGCCTRTGCTGGGAACGAGGGGGCGGTGAGGGATGGGGGAGGAAGGGAGGTGCTCTGTGCCTTGATGCCTCTCTCTCGGAGCCTTCTYCCTGCAGGCTTGGGCCGCCTGCGTCGGGATACAGGCGCTTAGGCCCTCGCTGAGGCCTAACCAATGCCTGTTTTCCCGCCATCCGCCCCTTTCTCAAARGCCGGTTCCCTCAGGTGCGCTAGGAGCCGCCCACTCGCAGTGCGAGCCCCCCTCACGCCTCCTCCCTCTCGGCGGCTCTGCCCGCTTCCCATCCGCCGCTGCTGGTCTCTCCCTCCTGCGCCGCTCCTAAACTTCCCTCTGCGGCGGAGGCCTCGGCGCCCCTGAGGCTTTGTGCTGCACTGCCACACGCCCGCCCCTCCCCTCCGTGGCGTGGAGCTTGTTACGCCTCGAACGGAGGCATCTGGAGTTGCTCSACTGAGGGTTTCAAGAAACAGTGTGCAGCTATACTTAACAGTTGGGATTACTTTCTTGTCAAATGGGACAGCGAGATCCGGTGACTTGTTTCATTTGAAACCTTGCCCTTTTTTCAGTTTGTGTTATGGGAAGTCTGGTTATTTATTAAGTTTGCAGATATGAGTACTATTTCAATAGACGATGGGGGTGCATTAATATGTTTAGGAACATATAAAGTTATAAAACAGACCTTTATGCAGCAGAGAGAAGAATGGTTTGAACAGTTGTGATCAGGTGATTCTTTTTCTTTGAACACTAGCTCATTGGACCACTTAATCCAGAATAGCACTTGTTTACACAAGTGAAGCCAAGTAGTCCTACTAGTTCTCAGGTGAAGCTTTACTTCAGCCATATCGTTCTCAGGAAATACTACTTGTCATTGTCAGACTTGGTGACCCCAAGCTGTCACTTTCATTATTGTTTGAAGATAATCACCTTTGTTGACTTCAGAGTTTTGACAAGGGATATGGTCAAAAACTTGCACAGTAACACAAACACACATGAAAATTGACGTATTTTGACATASTGATCCTAGCTTTGTGGTTTAGGATTTTATTCAGTACCTAAATTAAGAAAAATACTCTGTGCATGTCTACAATGAAGAACTGGAATGTGCTTAACAATTTGAGAATAGAATGAATAGTTTATTCTAGTACTTAGGAGCTGGTTTAGTTCATGTGTAAGTAAATTTTCTATGTAAGTTAGCTTGGAAATTTTAAAAAGATCATGAAGTCTATATAGAAGGAATATGACATTTGAGCGGTACTTGCTATGGAATACCAGACAGTWGGGGAAGAAATATTGGAAAATATTCGGGTATTTTGATACTCCTACAATAAACTTTTAAGTTTTAAAAGAAAAAGCAACAAACCTTAGTAGAGTAGAAAAAGTATGGCATTTTAGTAAGTCATCTGTCAATTGTGTATTATATATGTTAGTATAGATTCATGTTAGAGAAGGAAAGAAGTACTTCCTTTCTGACTGAATAAATTAGTGGACAGTTCATAGATTAGAAGTGACATTCTTATGTCTTGTTCAAATCTCAATACGCAGTCTAACTTCAGCCCTTTCCTATAATGCTCTTTTCTTGCCTTGCAACTATAACTTTTTTCCCCTCAGAAATTTGGTAAAATGTAAGTGGTTTGTTTCCTGCAAATTTCATAAAATTYGTCTTTAAGAAGTAAATGGATCGTAGTAAAAGTAGTTTTTTACATTAGTGACTTACCTGTTGCTCTAAAATCATAACTCAGTAAGCCAAGATGACAAAATGATAAAATACTATAAGTTTATGTGATTAAAAAAAAAAAAGTTGGTATACTACAGAATAAATCACTGAGATTTATATCTGTGTTTATAATTTTATTTTCTTGATAAGGTCTATTCACTSTAATACTACCATGGCCGATAAGTCTAAAAATGCATTTGATTGGTTTAATTAAATTTGAGTGAAATTTGTTGGAGTGAAAAGAATGAAACGTTTGCAGGCACAGTKCTTAATTTGAGTGCACCATAAATTGCTGATAATATTTGAAAATMTATTTCAGACATGAATGTCATGCTACTTTTGTATCTGTGCACTATCTTTATTCCAAAAAGATAAAAAAGCTAACTTTTTTTTTAGATTTCCTGATGTTAGACATAAAGCTATGATAGTTTAATTAAACATGTGAATATGAACTTTATGACAATTTATTTCTCTAGAACAGCCTCTTAAGTATGCAAAGTTGTATAGGTACAGGATGGTGAGAGTACTAGCTGCTGAATAAATACTTGTAAGAGAAAAAGAAAACCTTTTAAAATAAAATTATACGTAGTATATAAAGGATGCTTAAATATTTGTCCAAAAAGGATTGTAGCTTGGCAGAGATATACTAAAAAAATGAGGTTGATGCATTTTTCTGGAAGTGGTGTAGGTTTTTTGTTTGCCTTATGTTGTTTTGGGGTTTTTTTCCCAGAAAAGATATTTTGTGTCCGTTTTGGAAAAGTGGATACTKGCTTAATGTGCCCCCAGCTAAGTTTGCTGTCTCTTGAGCATCATAAGATTAAAATTGGTCTTCTCTTGCCAAATGATTGAGTTGAGGGTTCCAAAACTTTCTACTGAAGGAGATCCACTTAGTTCAGTACACTTTTGAAAAGATGACACATGAGCAGGGGAAGTTGGGAGCCTTCGTATTTCCCATGTTTATCTAGATAAGTAATCCATACTTAATCATCTCCTATTGCATATTTGCAAATTGTACCTTGGGTCATCTACAAATTGGTTAATTATGTAACTTTTTTAAAGTAGTTTTTCAGACAAGATGGATTAGGAAAGATTTTCCAAATGAGATAGGAAAATGCAAACATTCTGAAAATGACAGAATATTAAGACATTACAACAGTAGCTGTTRTTCTAAGTCCTGGATTTGTGCTGCTGACAGGCCAGAAGATAAGTTTCCTGAGATTTTTCTGGCCTTCACAGAATATTTAAAATAAAAGTTCTATGTCAAGCTTAAAACCAAGAGCCTTCTCCCCAGAGCCCATAATAATTCCAAAGGAATAGTACTACATGAAATGTAACTACAGAGTATTCACTGTTGTTCATCCTTGGGTATCTAACWGCCATGCTGTACTAATGATTACTACCTGGATTTTTTTCTGTATTTGGTAATTAATTTGCAAATTTACCTAGTATTTTTGTATCCTTTTTAATAAAAAGTTAAAAGAGGCTCAGTGATAATACTGCTGCTAAACTAAAAATTCAGAACATGGAAACCTGCAATTTGCAAGGATTTATTTAGTATTGATATAATTTATTTTGGATTGTTATGGTAGAAACAGAGTGCTGCAATAAAAAAGGTCGAGCTGAAGTACTTGAAATTTGTTAAGGTAAATGATTAGATAACAAGATCACAGGTATAACACCTAGAATTCTAGCTAAAATATTGAAGTCACAAATTTTATTCCTTCAGTCTTCTATATTGAGATACTAAAGATTAGTTTGATGCCTCTGAGGTGGTGGCTTTAAGGCAAATTTTTATAGGATAATATTGCTATATGTGGCCTAAAATTGAGACCATTTAAACTCCTGAAGGGTGAAGGATGGTCAAAGTTGGGTGGGGTTTGGATTTTTTGGAGGAGGCAGGCATGGTGTTGTGGTTGTTTTGTTTTGGGTTGGGTTTTTTTTTCTTTTTTTTCCCCCAGTTGTGATCAAGAAGTAGTATGATAGGTTGTCTTCCATTTAGTCTATTAGTATATAGATGTTAGATGCTAAATGAATGGATTCCCTGTGATAGGAGCACTAATTGCCTGAATATTCACTTTCTTCAAATGTACGGCAAAATATTCTTTAAATATATAATCTATGTGTATAGGTTAAACAGTAGCATGGCYGATGCCGTGTACTGAAGGAGTTTGTTTCAGTGTGAACATTATTGATTAAAAATGTAATTCTTATGTTTGCATTTTGTAGTCGTCAACAAGAAATCGAAGAGAAACTCATAGAGGAAGAAACTGCTCGAAGAGTGGAAGAACTTGTAGCTAAACGTGTAGAAGAAGAGTTGGAGAAAAGAAAGGATGAGATTGAGCGAGAGGTTCTCCGCAGGGTGGAGGAGGCTAAGCGCATCATGGAAAAACAGTTGCTCGAAGAACTCGAGCGACAGCGACAAGCTGAACTTGCAGCACAAAAAGCCAGAGAGGTAACGCTCGGTCGTTTGGAAAGTAGAGACAGTCCATGGCAAAACTTTCAGTGTCGGTTTGTGCCTCCTGTTCGGTTCAGAAAGAGATGGAATACAGCAAATCTAATTCCCTTCTCATATAAACTTGCATTGCTGCGAAACTTAATTTCTAGCCTATTCTGAGGAGCTCACTGATATTTAAACAGTTACTCTCCTAAAACCTGAACAAGGATACTTGATTTTTAATGGAACTGACCTACATATTTCAGAATTGTTTGAAACTTTTGCCATGGCTGCAGGATTTATCAGCAGTCCTTTCATTTTGGGGAAGGGTATTGAAAAATCTGTAATTATGTATCCTTCATTTGTTTCATTTTGTTTACCTAGACTGTAAGAGGCTTTTGCCTTCAGCCAGGCAAAAAGCAGGGTCCAGCAGTGAGCTGCATTACCTGTCTTTAACAAATAGGTTTCTTATTCTTCATTTAAAATGAACATTTTCCTTGAGCATACATTGGACTAATTCTGGGACTTCAAGCATAAGCCCATCCACGTCTTCACGAAGGATTTCTGTCCAAATCATTATATCCATTTTTAATAACTACTAACAACTCCTTTTTTTCTCCCTAGAAGTTATAAAAGAGCAGGTTGCCCTTGTCTGAAGTCAAGCTGAACGTGTGACTTGGGTTTTTGGGGCTTTTTTGTTGTTTTGTTTTGTTTTTTAATCAGCAGCTGGAGCAGAAGCTGAAAATGTCTTTCTGTGAGACAGTAATTTGCTACTAAAGGCTTTGATGCCTGCCTGCACCAATCATTCCAGGATCCAGAAATTTCAAGACAAACTTCGAACTGTAGAGGAAATTTGTGCTACATAGTCATAAGTGTCAAATGCTTTTTTCACTCTGTACGTCCTACACAGTTTATTTTAAATTAATATTTTGATTGGCTTATGGAAGGAGAGACAGTAGCAATGCAGTTTTCCTCTTCATAGTAGATGTGACATGTCAGTCACATAGTATCAAATTAAGTGGAAACAAATGGAATGCTGAGTTACAATCAATATTAAAAACAATAAATTATACTTTTTTGCCAATTCAGACTTTAATGTCAAAGAGTTTAAGCTGGACTTACATGTTCATAGTCAGCAAATTCTTCATATATAGAGGTTTTCATTTGATCAGATGGATGACTTGTTTTTAAAAAAAAAGTAGTTTTGGTATCATCATCGTCATGTGGAGAAGGCCTACCAGTTCCTTGTAATGCAGAATAAACCTCCATGCCTGGAGTGAAGTGTGCTAGCTAGTAGCTGGTTACTAGTCATAGTAAGAAGTTTTCATATGCTTGCTTTGTTCATATTAACTTTTTTTTCTTACACAGACACAAACCTCTGGCTAACTTTAAATCCTCCAAATATAAAAATAATTTGGATATATATTATGTGAGCTGAAACACCACCTCAAAAATTTTCACGCAGTCTTCATATTTGAGTTGCATAACAGAGTTCCATAAAATTCACCAAGAAAACAACAATTGCAAGGCTTTATTTCCTGATCTTGCCTTCCCTGGACTCCTGAATTCCAAGTTCATACTGCAGACAGTTTCAGCTGTCTTAAAATTGTCAAAATACTGAATGTTAAGTCCATYCTCCCCATGAAAGAAGCCCATAGCTCCATGAAGTATGGATTACCATTTGTATTTTTCACTAACAGTAAATGTATTTTTCTTATTAATTGTTTGCCTTAGGAATGATTTACATATTTTTGTTCCTTCTTACCATAAACATCTGCATTCCTCAGCTCAGCCTTCCTTGTATGTTGTTTCTTTATAAATGGTTGAGCTGCTGATGCAGGTATTGCCAAGCTAACAGTACAAATCATTTTAAAGAGGAAGCTGGCGCGTATGGCAGCCGAGGAGCACACTCTGCAGGACACTGGACAAGACAGTAAATATTCAACTTTTAATGCTGATTAAAGGAGTATAGGTAAAGAATACGTAGGTATACTTAATTGGTGAGACAAACTATTCACTTTATTTATATTTTCTATATTACTTTTTAATTTGGTAAATACTATCCAGTTTTTGTAGTTGTCCTTGTTGATTTGTGTGATGTTAAAATTCTAGTAATAAATTGTCAGGATTCTGTGATTAGGGAGGGTTTAGTTGGTTGCTGTTTGGACTGGGCGGGATGATTTAAATTGAGTACTAGAAACCAGTTTTAGTGACTGCACAGTTTACCGTTGTGAGGCAAAATAGGTGGCTGTAAAGCTGCCACTTTAAGTCAGTTCACRAAAGAATTCTGAGAAAGATTAGTGAACATGCAGAAATGAATATTTTACTTTACTAACATCTTGCCCTGTCCTCCCCTTTAGGAAGAAGAGCGTGCAAAGCGTGAGGAACTAGAGCGAATACTGGAAGAGAATAATCGAAAAATTGCAGAAGCACAAGCTAAACTGGTATGTGAAGGTGTAGCTAACTGTTCTGTAGGGAAGTACAGGTGTCTCTGCCAGATTTGCAACACAACTAAAATAAACAAGTCCACCCTTTCTAGARTTTAGCTTGTGTATTGCTGGTTGCATCAGTAACATTGCTCTCCTTCCCCTGAGCATAAAAGACCAGATCCTTAGCAGTAACACTAGGCTGGTAAAATAGCTCGGATGCAGGTAATTTAGAGGGGAAGTGGYTGCTTTCAGAATTAAAAAAACATTTTAACTATATCTCATGGGGAGTGTTGAAGTAAGTTTGCAAATACGTTCAGCTTTGTGTGACTAATTCTGTTTGGTTGAGCAGGACAAGTACAAACTAGATYTGATTCTAGTACAATGTTGATGTAGAAGTGCTGAAAGGGACTTTCAGCATAAGCTTAAGATGTGTAAGTTAGAAAAGTCTAACTTACGTTGGTCATCAAGCCCATTTAATCAGGTGCTTGCCACATGAAAACATTCAATATGATTTAGCTGATTGTAATCAATTGATGATAAGGCAAACTAAGTTGCTTCTAAATGCTGATTGAACTGTCAGTTTCAATTGCCCAAGTAATTACACGTCTTTCATATAAAAATGAAGCTTCTTAAATCTTTTTCCTTGAACTACATCTACTTCAGATCTGTTTYACCTTTTTCTCAACCTCTTATGGTAGTAACAGGACAAAAGGAAAATTTCAAGTRTTAGCTGATGTAATGTACTRAATAAGCACCTTTAGAAGACTACTRGGAGAGCTGTGAGAACCATAGGTCAGTGTAAGAATTGACTAGTTGCAAACCAAGGGAAGATGGTTTTGGATTAGGAGGGATTTTTAGATGGGTTGTGGAACAGGGAGACCTGCCTGAAGGTATGTTACTTCATTATGTTGTGCCTCCAGCTTACACATGACCAGTGTTGGGACAGCTTCTGTATGTATCTGCTGTCTTAATTAATTAAAATGTGTTTGCAAAGCAGTGCTGAAAAATGGCATGTAAGTACTCCAGATTTCAGTACATTAGTTGTAGAAAGTTCTTAGTGTTACTTCTAAATTCAATTCAAATAACCATTTTATAGTTTCACTGAAACCAACTGCCATCTAGCTCAAGTAGAGCTGCTTTCATACCTATGCAGGATTGGACCTGTTTGGAAGTTAATATGGACTTGCAAATTGCTTTTATGACTACAAAATACGCTGGCCTAAATTTTACTGTTTTCCTATGTAGGCTGAAGAACAATTGAAAATTGTTGAAGAACAAAGAAAGATTCATGAGGAGAGGATGAAACTAGAACAAGAGAGACAGCGTCAGCAAAAGGAAGAGCAAAAAATTATCCTGGGCAAAGGAAAGTCTAGGCCAAAACTGTCCTTCTCCCTAAAAAGCCAGGATTAAATTTCAACTCTGAACTCTTACAAAAAAAAAAAAAAAAAAGGAAAACAAACAAAAACTTTGTATGGTAGCTTCATGTTGAAGTGTTTTTTGTTTTCTTTTTTCTCTCAATTTTTTTTTGTCTTTTTTGAAAGTTGGAAAGTTAGCTTGTTCTAATAGGGGCTGTGCTCTGCAATTCTTTTTTTTTTTTAATAAACTTCCATTAAGTTAAACCCTTATCAGATCATCATTGCCTTTTAGAGGGTAATTGTTTTCATCAATTTTGTTTCTGTATTGGTGGTCTGAAGAAACTCATGTCACTTTATGAACTGTTGATGATCTGATAAGGTTTTACTGACCTACTCATCAGAGTTTGACTCTGATAATTGACAGAACTTTATACTGGGTATTGCTGACTTTTAATGTTTTTATTTTAAAGTCAGTAAATACAGGAGTAAATTGCCATAGTATTACTGGACCTCTGTGGTTTATTGTTAAATCAGTGTCCTATGATACTGTCCCATTGTTGCTCTTGATGTTCCTGATACAGGTAAGGAAATAGTTTGTCATTTCTGCTATGATTAAATAGAGAGTTCAGTATTGTCTCTGTTAGATTTGTTTTTGTTACATTGACAGCATTCAACCAGCGTTCCCCATTGTGTAAATAAACCAATTTGCTGAATAAAGTGAAAGTCTTAAATTCATATGTTTAAGTAAATTTTTTTAGTACACTTCTATAAACAGCTATAAGTGACCATTCACATTATTAAATTCAAGACTATAGTGATATTTTTTTAAATATTGCTTTAAACTATTGTGGCTTCTACTTATAATGCAAAATTACACACAGTAAAAAGTCCCTGCAGTTGTGAATGTTATTGATGGCTGCTGCTGTTTTTATGAATGTTGGTTTTTATTCTGACAGAGACTTATTTCAGCTACAGTATCATGTTTAAATTAACTRTTTGGCTTACTGCACCCAGACCAATACTTCCGATATCTAAAGCCTTTCTGTTCACCTCATAATATAATATATTGTATAAGTTAAGGTCATTACCATATAATGAATCTGATGGATCCTAAAGGATTTAAAAATGGAAGTTTTTTTCTCCCAAAGGACTGGACTGGCTAGTATATTTGAACTGAAAACAGAAAATGAGATTCTGTCTAAATACATTGTTTTAGAAATAGAAACAAAATAGAAAGCAGCTGTTATACAGATCTTGAATATTATCCATTTATATATACAGGTTTTGTTTTGAAAAATGAAACTACAGATGGAAAAGTATATATATAAAGTCCCCTTTTTTGTATGTAATTCCTCTACCAAAACCTAGATTACTATAGCTTGTCCAGTTCTAAAACTTTCTTTTTCCTGTGCAGCATCTGTAGTAACCATAAAATCAAAGTTACCAGTAGTTGCCTGAGCATTTGAATGTCACTGGACAAGGTTGGAAATAATTSCTGCTATTCCCAAAGGGTCTGTTTCTGTAGATTTAGCAAATTAAATGTGGGAGCAAGTTGAATGTGCCACTRAATGCAGTATTCAACTTGCTTTGTATAAAGACGGGGCTTGGGGGCAGACTGATGTGTATCTCCTTGTCCAGTATGTCAAGAAAATGTGAAGACGGTAAAATACCTACACTCCTACTGTACTTAAATTTGTCTATATATTGTGTTACAAAAGAAGGTTGGAGGTTGCTTAATGCATAAAAACAAAAGCTGAAGCCAAATAAATCATGTACATGACCTGTTGGCAGAAGCAGGCTGTATTTAAAGATCAACCGATACCTGTATTTTTAAAACAGAAAACATCCCCTGTTCCCTTATGAGAAACAAGTTATTAAAAGTCAATACGCAAAACAGACCTATGCAGTTTTGTTTCCTCTTCTAAAAGCAAGAAGCTAAGTAATCATACATGCAGCTGTGGTATCAAGCATTTTGTTCAGCATATTTACTGCTAAACAGCAACATTTGTTCTCTGCACTTAACATTGTTAAGGCTTAGATGTTACCAGGTTATTTTCAATCCCACCTTTAGGACTATTTCGTGGACAAAATGCCCATTCCTAATGAGACTGCCCCTTCTGCCAGTCCACATTTCATTACATGTTTCTSCTTCCCCTGCCCTCGAAAAACGGAAAAGCAGCTAGATCTTTGCTTTGGTTTGATTTACTTTCTTGGGGTAGAAGTTCAGTTGGTGGAATTCGCTGTCTCTGCTCTCCTAAGGCAATCTTGCTCTTAAGTGTTTGTAGATCTGGTGTGGGTGAATGTGCCTTTGCATTGTTGTGAGATTTTCTTTTTACAATTAGTGTAGGACTTCAAATACTGTTGATTTCTAGTAAAATAAAGATGCACACAGTTTGGAAGGGAGCAAGATGACATCTGATGGTAAGAACTTGGGATATTCTTATATTCCCATAGGACTTCATACCCATTTAATGCAAAGTATGTAGGAACATAGGCTGACATTTATGTAGTGTTTAAACTGTGAGCTCCCCATATGCATCTACAAGAGGATATTAACCCCCATAGAGAAAGTGATGTTGGTGATTGGGCTATGTGTTTAATTTTGATTTCATTGCAGTTTGAAGTTTCAGCTTCAAATTTTGCTTAGGTGAGTTTTGGGTTGTTCTGGGGTTTTGTGTGTCATCAACCACCCCAGGGAGGCAGGTAGGCATTTTTGTTGCCAGCTACCCTGAGCCGTGTCCATTTCCCTTATATGATAACAGAAGAGATCTTAGTTTTCCCAAACTTTGTTCATAAATGTCCTGGACAGTTATTTTAATACAAAACAGTGGCAAAGGCGGGAGCGTGGAAGGCCTTAGAGCAGCAYACTAAATGTACTCTTTGGAGATTTGCTAAACTGCCCTTTGAACTTCACATGTTCATTTATTGTCATTTTTTCAAGCACAAGTGGAAGCTCCATCCTAAGAAATGTATTGGACGGATGGCATCCTTGACGCTTAGCAAAGCAGAGGCAATTAGGTCAGTGAGATGTCTAAACTGCCAAGCAACTGCATACGTATCCATAACCTCACTGRAGTATCAACAGTTCATCGGTTCCTATCTTGTCTTGAAAAAGAATTTACCTTTGATGTCTCCTCCTTTTTAGCTATGTGCCACCTCATACACCTCACCCTTTCTATTGTCCTTCTTACTGAAGCTAGTATCCCCTTCTTTGTGATGCTATTAAATGTGCTCTTGGGATTGTTTTGAATTTTGGCCCTTTTTTGCATGTACACCAAATATGGAGGTGTTACTCACTTTTAACTGCATGCAATATTTCATTAAGTATTTTTGGAGCATTTGGGGTGTTAGCTCTGTCATTGCAGAGTCTAAACTTGGTGCAAGTGCAGGCATAATTCAAGTCAAACACCTTCCAGGCTGCATTRCAGAGGGAATTTATTTCAGAAGAGAACTGTGGATCTGCCTGTGTGCCTAAGGCTCATTCCAAGGCAGGAGGATACGGTTGAAGCGCCCGGGTTGGTATGGTTTCGGACTGACGGGCCCGTCTAGCTGGAGCTGAACCATGACTTTCRTGCACTTCTGATCCATTCTCATGCTGGTACTGCCACAAATGTGCATTTCAGGGTTATTCCCCTCTTTCCATGCAAYGTTTTGTTAGCCTGCTGAAGAGTGCTGAGCTTCTGTTGACATTTCTGTAGTGAATAACCTCATGCTTACAATCATTTTCCCTGGACTGACACTTAGAATCAAGGGTTATGCTGGCTCAGCATCAGCTCTGCTCAAAAGGACATAGATCCCCTTTGATAAGAAAAGGCTGGTTGTGTAGCAGAAGCCTGATCACAGGTCATTTTTCCTACCCCTCATATCACAGACCACAGAATAATGTAAATATTTTTGTTTTCAGACAGTGGTACTGAGAGGTCGGCATAAGCCAAACAGAGGCAAAATGCACGTTTTGGATGTATGAACATCTCTTCTGCTTTCCATTACAAGTCTGCTTGAATTCTATGGCTCTGTTTGGAAGAAGCCAAGCCAATTTTCTAAGAAGTGATGGTTAACCAAAACAGCAGTTATAAAACAGACCTGGAGAAGGCAAATTAACATCTAGATATGTAGTTACTCTACCATAAGTGCAGAAAATGCACTGTTTGTGGTGTGAATGATACATTGAGACCTGTATCGAGTATCTGGCACACTTGGACCTTTGTACAAATGATAAAAATCCATTTAAGTCAATAGGTATCAATCATTAYTCTATTGAATTTAGAAGTAATTGTATCCATTCCATTGAGTTATATCTTCTCGACTTTTAAAATTGGTACATTTTCATGTAATGATGAATGATGGTGAGCTTTTCCACTTGATAAAAAATTCCATGTTTAGGCTGATATTTAAGAGAATCAGGGATTGTGGACCCAATCCTGATCCCATTCACATTAACTGACCTTTGTTATGTTTCATAGTACCAGAGCCAGTACCCATCAGTTATTGCCCACATCGCTGTTGGTAAGAAGGTGAAAGAGGTTATTCAGCGATAAACACGATTTTTTTTTAAGCGGGGGTGAGGTACAGGAAATAAAGGTTTAAGCGGTGCAAACGGCAGCGTTCCAGTTCTTCAATGAAGGCAAGGGATAGGCAGGTCTCACCTGCTCGCTGGCCGCGCTCATCCGTCCATTTGTGCGTCCCTCCTCGTCCGCGGAGCCGGGCTGCCCGGGCGTCGGGACCGCGGCGCCGCTCCCACGGCCGCGGCAGGATTTCCCCCAGAAGCCCGTTCCSTGTGTGTTCATCTGTCAGGAAACCGCGCTCCTTGCAAAACCCGAAATGTCTGCCGGGACCTCCTCCTGAAACAGCCCCCGGAGAAGCCGCGGCCGAAGCCGATTTCTAACTTCCGAACATTCGTCAGATTTTTTGCTTTGAAAACCTCGTCCCCGGGCTTTACTCTCAGGTTTCTCCCGTATCCGAGACGATTCTYGGAGGCGAGACGGTCAGGTTGGAGGCCGATGCAGCTGACGCAGGGGTCGGGACCGGGGAAGGAGCACGGTCGCAGCGTGGCTGCCCAGGGACCCCGCGCCGCCGCAGCCCCTCCGAGCGCCGCTCGCCCCCGGTCCCCGCCTCCTGGTCCGGCCCGGCCYGACCCCGCTGGGAACCGTAAGTAATTCTGCGGCGCTGGAAGGGCCCTGCGGCCTGATTCCAACCGCAGGGACCGGTTCCTCAGCCAAAAAGGGTGACCTGCGTGGAGTAGCTACCAAACCCGCATTTTTTTGAATGTCTTAATCTTTGTTGCTTAGGTTATCTCCGAAATAAGTGCCCGGGTTTGTCTTGGTTCTTGCTTAAAAGTAATTTTATTAACGCGGATTTTTATACACTTACAGTGTGCCTCGGTAGGATGCTGGACAGTAGAGTAAAACAGCTGTATTTGCGTAAAAATGATTAGGCACTGGACAATAGGAGTCGTCTGATATATTTAGCTACAGAAGGATATTTTCAGACAATAACAGGGCTCTTCATTTCCTCTGGTTTACTTAAAGCAAGGATACGAAGAGTTAGAGGTCACAGTTTACTCACAGCTTTTACAAAATAYCACTCGTAACCTTTTGCTTCTAAACAAACAGAAGCAGCAGCATCACAAAATTGAGGTAGACCTATTTTACACGTCTCTGTTGCTGGAAGCATTTATCAGGCTCCGTGTTTACACTGCCTCACGACCGGCTACACACCACACATTTGTTTAAAAG